AAATTTCGCTATAGAAACTCCAAGGGTGCATCTGTTCGGACTTTAATTGATTTACAATTCAGTTTGAGTAGGGTTAAGTGAGTTTCTTTAATAATTTCTTGGAGGACCGTTTGTTACCTTTCGAATACTTGCAGAAAGAATTGAAGGCATTGGTCATTTGACTCGTTTGGTAGTTTTAGGGTTAAGGAACACGATGTTGAATGTATCGATATATTATAGGTTTAATATCGAATGTTAATGTCTGGCATTTTGCTGCGTATAATCGAGTGTTGGACTGCTGTGTAATTATTATTGAGACGGATAGTGAAGGTTTTTGAAGCAATTTCAATCATCATATGGGTATTATTAATATTTTAAATTCAGTGTGAACTGGAATGGAGAAATGAGAAGATTTTCGTGGTTGTTGGAGATTATTGATAGTAGAAGTTAAATGAGTTTTGTTGTTATAGAGAATTATATAGGGAGGGGTCAAATTATTCCTGATGAGAAACTGTTACGCGTTATCGTTGAATTTTTGTAACTATAAATTTTCAGAAATTTGGATTTGAAATGTTTCTATCTCACTTGCAGCAGTGTTTTCATAAGAAGAAAGTAAAGTGAAAGTTTTGGAATTATAGTAATAATCGGGTGTTGTCGGATGGCATTTTATGGGACTGAGAATTCAATGGAAACTTTCCTGCCGCATTAAACGTTTTGAGAGGTTAGTAAATAAAGTAAGAATTCCAATAAACCTTCATTAACTTCCATCCACGATACAGAGCCATAATTGAATACCCGGAAACGAGGTTAATGAATAAAAGTATCATTTCCCCGAAAAACACAGAATTCTCATCGAACTCACAACTTGAGATTCATATTAATTACAGAGCTATTAGACAGCATAAAGACCCATCACCTCAAATGTCACGCAACAGCACTCGCGAAAGCCAGAGACGCGCGAAACGTCCCCATAATTGCAACGTTCCATTATTCCCTCGAACAGTTCCACCTTCGACCCGAAATTCGGCAATTCGATCGTAAGGTAACCGCGTTCCCAGCTGCGCGACGATGTTGCATCAGGAGACTTCGACGCATACATCCGCCCGTGTTCATTAATCGTGTAATTAGAGCAAACGAAAAACTAAACCACCAACACGCAAGTACGCTCTCGTCGATTTCTATTTAGAAACGGAAGCCGAGGAGAAACTGAAAAACGAGGAATCTGTCGAAGGATAATTGAACGACGAGGGGCGCGCGAAGATCCGTACGAAATAATTGATACACAGCCAGAATAATTATTTACCTTGTCAGCGGTTAAGTGTGCTCCAGGATTAAGACGGCGGCGCACGTAACACGGATACGAGTCGCGCTCGGAGTGCACGGAGGATGCACCGGCGCGTGCATGTTAACGAGTGCGTCTCTCCTCGTGCTGCCGACCTTGGCGATTTTAGTACTCGCACGCGACAAACGAGCGTGATTAGCGGGGAATTAATTGGAGACGTCTCCGGGCTCGAATGTCGCGGTGTCACGCTTATTTCCGGACGCGATCTGTACGCGTTGACGTGCGAATCCGTTGTCCGGGTGTTCCGATTATTCTTATGCGAACGCGGACGCGAGTCGCCTAAGCCTACGTGAATCCTTGAGTTCACTGTCATGTTCTTATTTCGTCGATTCGTTCAGCTGCTCCGAGGATTTCAGTGAATTTTTTAGAATAGATTCAGAAACTGAGAGGTTTCTAGGTTCTGTTCGTATCGAAATTATATTATCTATTATTTTATTGACTCTTTCAATTGTTTCAGATTTTTAGGAATGATAAATCTACCGATTCCTTATTTTGTTGATTCTTTCAATGGTTTTATGTTTCCTTTTCTTATTGCTGGATTCGTGTGAAAGTTTACTTAAACAACGCACTAATTTCACTGGAAACAGAGGTCTAGTTTAGATTAGGATCAACAGTTTTGTGAACTACGGTTAGAAAACCGTTTCCCTGTACTTCACACAGTGACCTCTGATTTGAGACTGATTCAATTATCTATTCTTCGGCCGATTCTCTCACGCTGACACACGATCCACCCCTCTTTCGCCTTTGTCCCTCACTTCGTACTCTTCAATCGGTCCTAGGAAACGTTTAATCCTCGAAAACTATTCATTCATTCTGAGCAGTTGGAGTTTCTATGAACATTCACTTCCCGAGCCATTAATCGTTGGGAGAGCGCTGGGGAGAGTTCACAGCTGTGGGATCGTCAATTTTGGTCAGATGAGTCTACAATTTTCTAACGAGTCTACAATAAAAGCTGATTAATACTCAACTTCTAGTTACCTTCAATATTTTTTAATATTTAACATCGAATTTTCTGGCTTGATAATATTTTTAATAATAAATTCTTTTTTCTCGATGTGAGATATGATACGTGTTCGAACCAATTGTAGTATAATGTCGTCAGCTCTGACAGTATTTAAACAATAATTATTCCACACCTGCGTCGCTTTAAAAATTTCATAGCAAATCCACTTCGCATTCGACGTGCATCGTGATACTCACGAGCGGAAGTGTATGAATACATAAAATACTAGCAGCGTCCTGAACTTCCGTTTAACCTTCCGAGCAGCCAGTGGGTACCACTTCTAACCGAGTTAATCACTTGGGTACCAATTTCATTTGAAGAAGCCTCCGGATGGTTCCAATTTAGTTTTCGTCTGCGTCTTCTAGCGCGAGAGCCTCGTTGACTCTTCGAAAATAACTACGTAACTCAATCTACACTCGGGTTCACGTTATATATCAACATTTCAAAACAAATGACGCATAATTCTCTAAATACACAGTTTATTAATTAATTCGCTGAAACTAGAATTAAACAGAATTAAACAGACAACATAATTTAACACTAAAACTACCAGACGGGTCAAAATGACCCATTCCTGACGTCTTTTTGTAATTATTAAAAAGACAACACATGTTTCTCTGAGAAATTATTAAAAAAATTGATTTAGCACACGAACTGAATTATAAATCAAAGTCTCGATCGCACTCTTGAAGTGTCTATAACAGAATTTATAAAATTTATAAAAGAATTTCAAGACGAATGACATTAAATGATTAATCAACTTAAACTTTCATACACGCAGGCGTTTACAACGTCATTGTAACTTCAAAGTTACAAAATATATTCGTTTCAATAAAACTATTAAAACTATTGAATACATTTCTAATTTGTGTGCATATGTTGATAGTTATTAATTCCATACTACGTAAATTTTGTTATAATCACGAAACAAAATTCGCCCATAGAGGGTTAAAATCCTTCAAAGAACTATAACCCATATATTATTAACACTAACCGTTTCCTACCGTAACCAGTCAAATAACTACAAAATAAATATAAACAAGTCAAACGATAAATCTCTCAGTACAAACGGAACCAGAGAAAGTGAAACATTGAAAAACCGACTAAACGATATAGCGATAGATTTAAAGTTACAAGCTTACGTAAGTTATAAATTTCCCGAATAAAAGTCAAACGAACCAACGAAAACGCGGGATTTCAAGTCCGGTTATTCGACCGGTTCCCAGTGCGGTCGGCGTTGGAAATAAATCAAAGGTGTCGATCGACGCATTGCCATTCAATCCATCGGGAGTAAAGAAATCGCGACCGGCGCACGCCGACTTCGTAATCCCGGTTACGTAAAAGCCAGTCAGTCTGGACCGGCGAGGAAAGAAACTCGCAGGCGCAGAAGTCGTTAGAAATGTGTCAGCGAACGTTCTCTCCTCGCGGAGAGATTGCTGTCTCGGCGCGCTCATCATCTCGAGATTAATGGATCCCCGGTTGAACGCGGGGACACCGCTTCCCTGAGAAACCGCGAGGTCGCCGCGGGTTCATTTCGCTCGGTGAAAGTCGGGGCGCGGATCGATTTCCTTTCCCTTCGATTCGATTTCGGCTCCTCCGGTCGGATGACCGTGGACTCGCCGCTCCGGCCTGCCCCAACGTCGGGAGATCACGGACGCCGGGACCGGAATCGCCGGTATTTGGGTCGGCGCGATCGCTCGGCCGAGTTTCGTCGCGTCGTGTCGATTTCATTCAGCCTGTCGCAGATCCGCCGCGCTGAGCGATTTGTTTCTAATACAGGGAAACGCGTGGACGCGTTTTTCGCGCGTAAAGTAGCACAGGCGTCGAGTAGCTGTCGTCGATTGTTCGATGACCATAAAGGATCCCGTACACGAAACTTGCGGCGATGCAGGCATGGCGAGTGATGGGTTCGAGTCTCGCGAAGTTTCATGATTGATGTACTTAACCAGTTATGTGTGTTTAACCAGCTAACTTTTAAATGATGGATTATTTATTTTTCGAGACAAATATGTAATTCTTTGTTTCGCTTTAGTTTTTCGTTAGATTTTATGGCGCGCACAAGGAGAGATTTTTCGAACTAAATTCCACACTTAACTGGTTAAATGAAAAGTGAAAGAAGCTGGTAATATATTAGGTTGTCCGAAGAGTACGTTTCATTGAATTGATATAATCGATGTATATTTTATGTCTTATCACGTGGCTTCGATCTATTCTAAATTCTTTCTCAAAAAACCTCGCAGTATCTTGATCCATCATTTCTGTTCAACGAAACATTATGAATAGATTGTGAAAGAAACTTATGGGACAGCCTAATATTGGACTTTGTCTATTTCAGTATTATTTGATGTTACTAATTAGCTATGGTAAGTTTATTCATGTGACTAATGAAAAGGAATAATAGTATTTAGTAGTACGTTGAAATAATAATGAATGATTTCTTCTAAGGATATTATTAAAATTAGATATTCAAATGAAAATATTATAAAATATTATATAATAGTTTAGAGTTTGTTTTAATTAGTCAGGTTGACTCTAGAGAAAGGATTGAAGAGTACTTCACTGGAAAGATGGATGGTGAATGAAAGTCTGAGCATAATAATGAACGGCGTGCAATTATTGCGGACGAGTGTATTGCGATTTCGTAAGGTACAAATAGTACAAAGGGTATAAGAGTACAAACATTGCGTAGGAACTAGAGTATGCGGACATAGAAAAAGTACAGTTTGGAGACGTGACGTAGAAAGGTGGTAACGTGCCGTGTGCACGCCTGTTCGGCTCGCGAACACGAACCGCGCACATCGTGGACTTACCTCGTGTTTTCTATCTCGTGTTCGCTTTCAATTTCGGCTAAGACTCGTGGCGAGATCGGGCTGCGACATTTTCGGCCGGCCATTAACGCCGGGGAAATCGAGGAACGGGAATTAACCCCTTAAAGATTCTTGAATTATGAAAAATATTAAAATGTTAAATTAGAATATTAATTTTAAAAGAAGAAATAGAATTTTGAAAGAAGAAATAATAATACAGAATATTACTCATAAAATTCATATCACATTCTATATTATTACATTGAATAGTGATTAGCGTTTAAACTGTAATATTCAAAGATTACAGGTAGTTTCAAAATTGTAGATTGCAGATTTTTATAGAGCAGAAGGAAATGAGTTCGATAAATCAATAATAGTAGTTATCAAATTATTCAATAGGCAATATATAAGGTCAAGGATAATATGATGCGAATATTCTAGAATCTAATATAAAAATTAGGACGCCACGTTAAGAGGTTAAACGCGTATTCGTTTTCACGTCCCTGATCGCGGACGAGGTCGAGGAGACCAAGAGAAAGAAAGGTCGCAGCGGAATAGCCAAGACGAGGCGAGGGAACGTTGGATCTCGACACGAGCCCCGATCAATAAAACGTAACGTGTCGCGCGTAAATCCTATATCTGATAAATACAATAAATATTAGAATAGAACAACGCAATAATAAATATATTTATATTTGTATATATATGTGTATATATTATATATAATATAGGAAGAAACATGTCGACACAACTAGCTCTAAAACACCGAGAGGATCCATTCCTTTTCACCATCATCATCCTGATCATCCTGATCATCTTGATCATCTTGATCATTATCTTGATCGTCATCATCGTTATCAGCATCACCTTGACCATCATCTCCGTCTTCATCACCTTCATTATCATCGTCGTTATCATTATCGTCGTCATTTCCAATCATTATCATCATCATCATCGTCACCTTTTCCATCTCCTCTTATCCGTCTAAATCTTTCATGTATTTACAGCCGCCTCACAGTCGAGTTTCTATATTTATATGTTACAGAAAAGAAATAGAAAGGAATGTGAACGATCAGCCATCACCGATTACACGGATCGCCGTGTGCTTGTCGCCGAAAGACACATGTACGAAACACGCGATTAACTAGGAGAAAAGTTTCTCCATTAAGCCCGGTACACACTGTCGGTCAGGTTTCGCAAATATTCGGTCAACTCGAATTTTGGAATTTTTGTTAATTTCGCCAACGTATTCGACTTTTCATATATAGGACAGGTTTTCTTGTTATTGCTTTCACTTTCACGAACTGACAAAAATTCTTTTGGCCAATGTAAACGATGAAATGATCATTAGATTAAATTTGCACCTGCAATAATAGAGTAAGACACATTCTATATTCATCCGACTTTTCATTTAAAGGGAAACTTTGAAAATCAATGTATACTGCCGCACTTTCTCCGCTGTCTGTTTAGTGGAGTTAATCCAGATTTGATCACTGCTCGTTGTAAACAATAGATAACAGAATTTTAGCCCTGACCGATAACGTGTACCAAACCGTAGGCTGCGTTTACATCGTAGATTAAATACTAGAGCATCGATCATAATGCGTGTACAATGAATCTCCGATAACATGCTTCCAGTCACTCACATAGCAACTGTAATCAACACCTCCGCAATTAACCCTGCGCACTCGAAAGTTCTAGAAATATTCAACATTTCTGAGATATACGACACTCTTCGAAAGAATCTTAAAGACAAATCATAAACTGAGGCAAACCTATTTAATTCAATATTTCACATATCGGTGCATTGTACAAAGCTCAACATTTCATATCAAACTTCCTAATTTCGTATCAAATCACCCCAAGTGCAAAAGATTCATTTTCCTACGTCATTACGAAGGCGAGCACAGTAAACAAGTAACACGTATCGATATCTGTCGTTTACCAGATGCTCCGAGATGAACGTCTCCATCAAGATAAACCAATGGAGCGTATTTCTACGTTTCGCCGACGCTCTTTTTCAGTATCGCCGCGATGTAAACGCAGCGTTACGGAAAGGAGAACGCAAAGAGTAAAAACGATCACTCTTTCCGACGCGTTCTCCTCCTCTCGCGTCCTGTTCGTCGTTTCTTCCGGTTCGCTCCCGCGGGACACGCACGTATCATCACGCAATCGAAACAAAGACACACGCACACTCTCTCGCTCGTTCTCGCAGAAAAGAAACCGCGCGTCGCGGGCCGTTCCCGTCCCGACGAATCGGTTCTACTCTCAGCCACCCTAGGGACTCGTCTGTTGAGCATAAAATAAACGAAACGCGCTCGAGTTGGTCGCCTCGATCGGCTTTGATCCCCCTTTGTCTCCTTCCATTTTTTTTCCCCCATTTCTCGGTTTCGTTTCGCCTCTCCTCTTCTCTCCCCCCTTCCTTTTAGTTATCAGAGTTTGGACAGCGCATTCGACGGATTAAGGCTTAATGATATGACTCGCCGTTGTACTCTGTTGCTCCTTCGAACGTCATCCCATCATCTCTCTTTCTATGCACGCTCTCGCAGTTTTCTAACGTTCCTTTTGCATCCGTGGCTCTCAACCTTCGTCTGTTTACTCGTCGCTCGGTACATTATCAGCGAAATGCTTGGATTCTCGGTTACTTAGTCAAATGTAATAACATGGAACAAGGTGAACAGACAATGCGAATGAAAAATTTCATTTCCAGATTGCAACAGATTTAACTCGATTATTCGTAATTCTCTATTTTTCCAACAAATATATCTGTCTCCTATACAATTTCATTACTGCAGGTTGAGAGCCACTGTTCTATCCGAACATCGGAATCACTGGTAACATTCAAATCGTCACGAATTCAATCGAAGTCGAACAGTATTGTTATTAATTCACGCCAGCAGCAATTGGAATCCGACATCGTGGAAGCTTGCTTTTAATGAATTCGTACCGATCGGAACGCCATCGACGATTCCAACGCGACGCTTGCTATCTGATCTCTATGCTCACGGATCTATGAACGTCTACGGAACAATGCACCGGCGCGTCGGCGCCTCCTCTTCCACGGGGCGATCGAAGTTTCTACTCTACAAACTAAATCCTCTTTCCGTAGAAAAGATCAACGAACTGCGCGCCTCGGGAAGCGGCCGACCGCGCGCGGCGCATCGATTCGGCGCTATTTTTAAAACCTGATCTCGAATTTCGGACTCGCGGCTATCGCGCGGCGCTGGAAACGTGCAATTCGGCTGTGATTTTCTCGGACCGGAGCGCGATAATCGTCGGTCGCTCGCACGCCCAGCCACGGGGGCCTCTAATTCGCCTTCGAGGCACGAACGCGCATCGATTCGCTGGACATCGCCGCGCGAGGATCGAGGGAAACAGGCCTCGCGACCGTTCGACGCCGCGGCCGCCATCGACGGACTCTTGGACGTTCGCTGGACGCTGCTTCCTCCAGCCCACGAATTTCTCGTTTTTTTATTGTACTATAGCGAACCATGCTGTGATCTATCGTTCTCTGTCGCTCTCTCGATCGTCGGTGCACGGTGAAGGAAGATTTTAACAAACAACAATTATAAATCTACTCTGGGCGGCCCGGCGCGGCGCTCCGCCGGGAGCCCCTGTCGCCCTCGATCGGTTCGCCGTGCTACGAAATTCTATCTACTCGGACGCGAGACACGCTATTTTAAGTTGTAGTTTGTACTACGTGGAAGACGGATGTCCGTTGAGAGTGTTCGAGTTACATCGAGGGACAGATCGATCGGGGGTAAACCGGATTAACACGTTACAGACGGAGCTCTTCGATTTGCTTTCCATTTAAGCACGGGAATTAAACAGATTTCGTTTTCGTAAGCAATGTGGAGAAGAAATCTTTTTTTTACAATGGTTCAATAAAATTCGTTGTGAAGGATGTGAACAATATTTTTAGTGTTATATGATTTGTAATGTACTGTTCGAATTTGATATTGTTCTAGCAATATCAATATTAGTATTAAACGACATTAATAGTAATATTGTGGTGTTAGGATTAAAATATGAGTATTAATGTTAAACGAAATATTGAAACAATATTAATACCTTTCTTCGTTTTCCGTCGCGTAAATGGAAAGTTCACCGTCGGCCTTCAGTGGCCGTCGCCGCGCAAAACGTGTTAAGTATATGTAACTCGGATCGGGATCTGAAACGGGATCGTTCTCTTTCGCCGCCTGGACCGAAAACAGCTTCCTTTTCCCTTGGACTTCAGTCTTACGAACGCTACGATCGGAATCGATACGATACAAAATCACTTCTCCTTTGACGTTCCTCTTTCTTCTCGTTTCGATCGGTTCGACGAACCGACGGGAATCGTCGTCCGCGTATAGAACAAGATTGCTCCCGGAGATATCGAAGGAACGTTTCGTCGTTGCTCCGACGGTACTAAGCGTCTAATCACCTACGTTTAAACACGGTAAAAAATTGTGCGTCGTCGATTGTGCCTTCGTCCCTGTCTGCCTGATATCGATTTCAACGCAACGAATTGCTGATCGGAAACAGTAATGCAGCGATTGGATCGGCGTCGCTTCTAACCCACGTCTGAACTTTTATTGCTTTACGTTCGTTTCTCGATACAAAATATCACCTAGAAAATGTCTCGTTTCGTTCGAACGTTAGAATGACTTTCTCCGTTATCGAAGATAAAGAATGACTAAACGGTCATTTCAGTTTCCTAAAATTGTGCGGTCATAGGTCAATCGTAGGTTCCAATAATATGTCATTATTGAATTCAACTAGATATTATTAATGACATATTGACAGATAGTATCACGGAAAAAACAACTATGACCTTGAAATGACATTGAGAATGACCTCGGTAATTCCACCATCTTATTCAGCTTGTATTACCTTCGACGACAGCAGAAACAATTCAGATGTTCGGTTTAAACGAGACACCGCATGGAAAAATAATATGTTAAAAAGTGTAAAAAATTTCATTAAACAGATGGTCGCGCATTCTGTTCGACGCGTTCAGCACGTGGATCACAAACGACTCGCTGGGCAAAGGCTGAACATTGTTCACGCGTTCTATCGCCATCCACTTCTGATCCTGGATGACCTACGTATGTACACCGCACGAACGACTCGAAGCTCGTTCGTCGAATCAACCTCGATTATCGGAAACCGAACGGTTTCCTCGATTATTAAAAACCGTCCTCGTTCGATGGATGCGGAAGCCAGCGGCGCGAGGAACGTTCAACGCGTCACGCTCTCGGCGAAAGAAGCTTTAACCTGCTTGGATCAACGAACGTAGAATAAAGTCGCAGATTCAACCCCTTCGAAAAAATCACCTCTAAAAAACAATGATAAAAATCTCAAATACAAACCTAATGCATTTCACACGCATTCCTTTCCTTCCTTCAATCACAATACATCATAGGCATCTACCCCAACTCCCGCAAAAGGTCATTCCCATTTCCAAAGCCTCCAGCAAACAACTAACCATTCCATTCTACCGCTCAATTTACATCCCAATCACCCAAAAACATCCAACCACCCAACGAAAATGTCTACCGACTTCATAGCCTAAGGTACCGAAAAATTTCGCAGAAGACGCGTGACGCGTTCAAGGTCCTCGAGGAGCGTCTGCGAGCATCCCCGACGAGGAGGGAACAAAAACTTCACCGGCCAAGGCACCCGGCCCCGGTTACATGAAGTAAACGGGATCGTTCTCGACGATGGCGTCCAGCCTAGCCGGCAGCGTGGTGGGTCTCTGAGGAGCCGCTGCGTTGCACGCGACCTCGCGCGACCCCTTGCGTCACATGTAGGTCGGCTTGACCTTGTACGCGCGTTTCCAGACCTCGCAGAGGCACACGGTGCTGTGGAACCTGTAGAATATCGCGAGCGGCATCGAGACGTGCGTGATGATCGTCCAGGCCCACAGCCCGTAGAAGTGCAGCTGCACGGGGTGCGACTCGGCGCGCGACTTCTCGAGCGTGTTGATCGCCCACATCGCCAGATTGGTCACCAACAGGAACGTCACGATCTCCCTGCCCGGCTTCTTCCGGATCTGCTTCGCGGTGGCCACCGACCGCCTCGAAGCGTCCAGGATGAAGATCGTCTGGAACGTCGTCTGCAGGACGCTGGCCAGCGCCGTGACCAACACCAGGACGGTGTGCTTCGCCAGGGTGAACTGGGCGCCGATGATCGTGAACGTCGAGTATATGAACATCCCCGTTTGGGCGGCGACCAGCAGGATGTTGTCCAGCTCCAGGTTCCTGCTGCCGTCGTAGCGCAGCTTGCGCATCTGGAACATCCCTATCAGCGTGGCCATCGTCGACATCCCGTACAGGGTCAGCTCGGACACGTTCACCTCGGTCACCGCGAAGCTGACCAGCTCCGGACGGGAGATCAGGACGAAGAACAGGATCAGCGAGATGATCGTCAGCACCAGGATCAGGATGCCCACGAAGAGACCCTTGTGCGCGCGGGCGCAGTCCACGCTGTAGTGGTGCGGCGACCTCCTGGGGAACGAGTGTCTTTGTTAGAACGCTTTCGGTGGGTCTGTGGTTTCTGTGGTTGTAGTCTTCTGGAATTATTTAGTGAGTTGTGTTATGAATGTGTTGTGATGAATTCTTTCTGATGTATTACGAGTTTCTTCTGATTTGTGTATAGACGCAGCGAACAGTGAAACATTCAGACACCTAATCCTTTTTGACTATTTGTGGAAAATCGTGCCAAGTTAATTAGTGCATTGTTTATATGGTTTATTATTGTATTATTTGTTCGATGCATTATGTTTGTTATTCGACTGGTAAGTCATAGTATTAATTTTCTGATATTACGAGCAAGAGGCTGCTGATATAACTCGGCGATTACCTATAAGCGTGCGCGTGATGCCTGGATCCTGGCGGCACCTGCGGCTGGGTGAACGCAGCCTTGGATATGTTCTTCCACATCACGTAGAGAATCGCGGCGCAGATTAAACTGTACTCGATCGTGCAGGGGAAGAGGAACGGGCTCGCGTCTTGCACCAACGAGCCCATTATGTTGGTTCTTCTGCACTCGAACAGGTCGTGCGGCCCCTTCAAGCCCCTCGGGATTCTCACGTGACCGCCGTGGTGGTAGTAAACGTGCCCACCGAAATGGAGATTACCTTTCGCACCTAATTTCATTTTACTTTCAATTTCTGCGTGCGTTCCGAAAGCTATTGCACACGGGGAACGGATTAATGGAACTCATGCCGACGATCGGAGTACTGTTTCCAATGATATTAACCCTTTCCACTGGGAATATTCAGTGTCTTCGATGAGATATACATCCTTTGAAACCAATTAATGAGAAACAAATCGATTTTAGTCGAATATTTTACGTTGAATTAATAATACTCGTGAAAGACCGTATTCCGATGAGTCTTTCCTTTAGATTAGATGTCAACCTAATTTAATTTAGTATTAATCAGACAGATTACGTAAACTAGGCACGAAGGTTAATACACCGGCAGGAAGATATTTGATCATGCGAAACATCCTGTGGCCGGATGAGTGCAACAGCTTTGAGAATCAGCGAGTCATTCTAAAGTTTCGACAGTGAGCGTGGGCGTTACGAACCGTACCTAATCTGTGGGAGATTTTCAACGAGTTGTTCTCCGGGTTGTAGAACGTCAGTATCTCGTGTTTCGTTTCCTGGACGAGGACGTTCAGCCAGACAGACAGATTCGTGCCAATCATATGCATCAGCCCGAAACGCGCGACCACCCGATGACGATAAACTTTCATTTGCTGTCAAAGGGAACAGAGATTAACGGTGCACCTTGTAGCGTAGCATTTTTCTATCATCCAAATCATATCGCAGCTGTATTCTTTATTATCCATCGTCATTTTCATTATCGTTATTTTAATTATGCGTTGTATAGTATTTATTATTAGACTTGCACAGGTTCAAAGAAGATAGGATCTTAGGGTGCGGAAGTTCCCTTGGGAGGTCGCTATAGAAAATGTGAGGCAGAGAAAAGGTCCAAAGGATTAAATAACACTTTTAAATCTAATAACGTTGACACAGTTAAAAGAATTAAATTCAACGAATATCATGATTCAAATATTCTATCGATATAACTCAGAATACCAACAATTAAAAACCAAGTGAATACACATACATTTCCAAGCACAGAATTTAATTAACAAATCGATTCGCAATCCAAAGCTACCCTTAAATTCCTCAGCCATCTCACTGCCTCGAGTCTCCGCAAAAACCAAGTTGAAAAGTGCCAAGTGCCTTCCGGTTCAGTTCAGAAACTGAATAACGCTTTTCTACTGTCACATTAAAAAGCTGTAAATAATACGATCTTCCCATTTTCCCATTTCTAAGTAGGTAACAACGAAAACAACCAATTAGAAGTAGAACGAACAAATTCAATATGATTCGACGAAGCAATAGCTTAGCACTTTTAGACAGTGTATCAATTAGAAGTAAAACGGATAAATTCAATATGATTCCACAAAGCAATAGCTTAGCACTTTTACACAGTGTATCGTAAAACTACGATCGCCACTCAATCGTTTAACCCATCAACCGAAAACAAAAGGACAGACAGCTACACTGAAAAATCCTCGAAAGACAATCTCTTCAGCAGAGAGCCAAAAGAAGAAGCAGTCCCAGACGTCGGACGTCTATAATGGAAAATATTAATAAGCTGCACAAACATAGATCCTCCATTAGCTCCGTCCATTAACAAACGATCGTCTCCTACGAGACTCGAAAAGACAAAGTCGGTCCCGGAGCGCGAGCCGCGGCAGCCGGGGTACGCAGAATAATTCGATTCTCCCGCGAAAGAGATCGTCGGCCGCGAAACGTCGGGTCGTTAAACGTTCAACGATCAGCGTCCTCGATCGAGGAGGCTCTCTCGTGAAGTTTTAATCAAAAGCGGTCGAGGACGGCGAGAGATATTCAGCGGCGCGCCGCTCCGCGCCGCGGCCAAAGGAAAGAGCAAAGCGCCGGACTCCGCGTTCCGGCGTTAAGTCTTAGGGTTGTTCACCCTTCCGTTTCATTAACCTCTCGGCGCGGAAGGCGGCGCGCCCTCCCCCTCGGCTTGCACCGACGCTCTCGCTACTCTCGTTACGGTTACGCGGCGCGCAACCGATTTCTGCAACATCGGCTCGTTATTTTTAGACCCTTCACCTACTGCAGCGCTTCCCTCTCCGCGATTTCGACGGGGGTCCTTCTTACGCAATCGCTCGGCGAAAAATCGTGGCGAGCGAACCGAGAGGGAACGCGCGCCTCCGCTTCTCGTTTTTCCCGCTGGAAAATGGAGCAAGCCTCGTGAATATTGATCAACGGTAAATCTCGGGACGGATCGACCCGGCTCGTCCGAGGGAAATGTGGGAGTATTGATTTCCAAATTGGGAGCGGGCGTGATTTAAATGTGGCACGTTGAATTTATTATTGTACTGCTCCAGTTCTGTCAACTGCGCTCTGCTCGGAGCGGGTAGAGGTTTCGTTTTTGGAACTGTGGTTTTCGTGGGATTTCGGTGTGTCTGTGGTTTTGGTCTTTTCGGGGATGTATATAGAGGTGGTGAATTATTGTTGTACTGGATGTAGGGTTATTTAAGGTAGAGTATGCTAGGTGTCTTTAATAATTTCACATGTGAACACTTAGGTTAATTCAATAATTGTAAAATGAAACTGAAACCAGCTATTTTGACGAGAATGACAGTTCTACTCTTAAATCAGCGACTGTATCTAGTAATCGAAATACAAACAAACAACCTGGAGTGCTAAGGGTTAAATTCTATCTTCAATCTTCATGAGTCTAATATTGCAGGGCAAGGGGTTAAAACTGCTCTCCCCAAAAACAGAAGCACAACGTTACTGTCGCAATCGCACTTTCAAGAGACATCGCCAATGATCAACAATCGACGATCGCGAAACGAACTTACCCACAGTGTTCATCCTAGTAACTCACCTCGTTATTCAGAAATATAAAGTACATCTGTATGAAGATGAACGCCATCCTGGTAGCGGGCGTCAGGGCCAGCATGATGTTGTGGCACTTGGTGTTCTGCTCGAGCTCGAAGTACTGGCCGAACTCCAGGCCCGAGTAGATCATCGAGCCGATCCCGAACGCGACGGCTCCCATGCGAAGGTAGAAGCTGCCGTAGTGCTGGGCGGGCCTGACGGCGGTTACGTGAGGGCAGGCAGCGTCGGCCGCGTCGCTGTCGCCGCCGGCGCCGCTCGACGATCTCGACGAGTCCAGGTCGCACACGTCCTTTCGCTTCTCTTCTCATGCAAATTTATGGTAATCGGCCGGTTAAGATTAATGCGGTTTTAACAGGGTCCGAGGGCTCGCTTCCCGTCGTCGGAAGCGGATTGAAAGCGAGCGAGCGAGCGAACGCGAGCGCTGGCCGCTTCGGGAGATCTCTCGGATGCTCTCCTTGGCATCGGCCAAGCTGACCTCTCAGGCTCCGAGGCGCTGGGTCCTCAGCTGGCCCGGGACAAGGAGAGATCGGAGCTTCTGACGATCTAATCGCTGTCGGATTATGAATGTAAGCTGTGCTCGAGTTCGCCGTCTACACGGTTCTCGGTGACTAACACTGAGACGATGATGGAGGATGACTATGGTAAGCTGATCGAACTGTTACCGATCGTGTGACTGGCGGATGACAGCATCCTCTCGCTGTTAGAATTTCGAATCATTGCTGCGTGAAACATGCAGGGAAATGACTGTTATAACCTGTTCAAGGATGTCGAGGCACGTGTAGAGAAATGCTATGGTGAAAATACAGTGTTGCAATGATGCTATGGATATCTAGAACTTTTATTCCCGGAATTATTGCTTTTCATTGAAAATCGGGGTGATCGCTAGCAATGATAAAATTAGCTATGCAGGTAAGATTGAAATGTATAATGTATTATTCGAAGGATTCGACTGGCACTGTATGTATATTTTATTACCGTCTCAGAATATCAAAATTCTGATAGCCGATAGAAGATTGCGTCCAGCCAATCAAGCTAATCGATCGAATTACATAAAGCATACTTAACCGGACGATGGGATCGTCTCTTATTTCGAAGCAGTCCATCCGTAAAGAGGTTAAAATGTTATGGTATTTAATGCGCCGCGATTTCATGGATTAATCGCGTTGCCGCAAGCTCTCGATGAATAATGCATCAGTCAGCAACAGTGCAATAATAAAACAGTTACGAAAGGAAACTGGGAAGTTATCCCGGTGGCTCGTAAAAGCGCGCGGCACGGCGGTGGACAGTGCTACCGGAAGTGAGAGGGCTCGCGGGCCTGGCAACCGTCTGTGCGGAAAGGCATTACCTACTCGTAAAACAACACGCGGCGGAGCTACCTGAAACGTCAATTCCAACAAATTTCACTTCCATTTAACTTTGATTTCCTTCGTCGTCTCGTGTAACCTGAGAGCCAACATTTCGACGGCCGCTGCCACGTGTTTCCTTAGGCAACTCGGCGACTACCTTAAGCTATTCCGAGGAGACGTGTAAAAATCACTTAACCCTTTGCGGACGAGGAGTTCTCTGGAGTATTAACGAACTTGGCGAGACGTTATTCGTTAACCTTTTAAGTGATATAACTGTTGGTGGCGTTTCTATCGTTAGTACGGTACAAGCACCAATAGTTGACCAGTTGAGACAAATCTGCGTGAACGGTAAACGCTTGCTCCTTTATTAAGAGAATCTATACGTGAAAATGCTATTTGAACTTCTTACAACCACAAATAAATTTCATTTAAACAATTAAATTACTCGCTTCAAACTATTCCAAGTACCAAAGATTCACGCCAATGACACTCGTCCCCAATGACTTAATTCAGATCACGTACTTCCCTTAAGAACCGCATATCTCTAGACACTCCAGTAAACATCCCGTAATCATTAACACTAAAACTACCAGATAGATGAAAACGACTCATTTCTAATGTCATCTTATCGTTAAAAAGATAACAGATATTCTTAAAGGAATTCTCAAAGAAATTAATACAGCAAACCAATTAAAGTCTCGATAGATGCGCTCTCAGAGTTTCTACAGAAAATTCTCGAAAAATCGGATCAACTGCTCGGTAGTTTTACTGTTAATTCCATCAGGATCGACTTCGCAGATACCGACAAGTCGAAGTCGCCGAGAGAAATGCGCGGCCGTCAAAGTGTTCATCGATGATCGTCAAAGAGGACTTACTCGATTTGGGCTTGCTGTCGCGGAGCAGCGTCGCGTACGTGTACACGAGGAAGATCATGCTGCCGAAGTAGAGGTAAAGGTAGAATCCCTCGTAGAACGAGGACGGGATGTACGTGGATATTACTTCCGCCATGGGAAAGGCGATTCCCATGACGACCAGCAGCTTTCCGTATAGGGCGCTTAACGTCGTCGCCAGGGCGTCGCTGCGAAAGAAGCGGAAATTATGACTGAACGAGAACCCCGTGGCCCCGGCCGACTTCCACGGCCCAGCCACCGTTGATCCTTCGGCTCGGGGGAAATGGGACTATTTCCGGGCGTACCTGTTGTGAGTTACGTCCACGGGCGCATCACCGCGGTTTCCGGTGTCAGCGTCCATCGCGGACGGTCGCCCTTTGTTCTTGGCGCCAAGTCGGCCGAAAAATTTCGCGGCGTTTCTACGATACGTACGATCGACGGACCGATTGTGGTTTATGTCTTAGCTTCAGACAAGGTTAGGTTTCTTTCGTTGATATTCGTTAGATCGAGATTAACACGTTGTCGAGAAGAATGTACAAAATGAAGATAATGTGATATCAACTTATATAATTGAATTGGGTTGTTATTGCAGGTTTGAATTGTTGAGTGCATTAAGTATTACTTAGAATATAGGAAAGTTTTCAAATAACCATCGTTTAATCGAATGAATTATAGTAATTCGATTTGGTTGAGGTCACCGGTGACCCCCATGGCATTCAACGTGTTAACAGTTGTTTGTCGAGTAATTAAATGAGATATTGTTTTCGCTGGTTCTTTCGTTGTAACAGGAAATGCAAGTGAGGTATTTAGTAGAATAGGATTATAGCGGCTGATATGGTATATCTTAGTTTATTAGCTACTTGGCGATATTAGAAGCTATATGTTGATATTTAGGGTAGACTGTGGTGAATTCGATCGTTTGTTTGAGGGTGTGGAAATGAGAGTATTCGAATATTAACCCTTAACGGAGTAATGTCGCCATATTGTTGTAATATTTGCAATGAACACGTTAAGTACTGTACTACGTCACTTCTAAGAATTTGTTTCCGCTTATTACATGTTACGATATTTTCCAAGTAAACTTGAAATACTTCTTCAATCTCACGAAATATGCATTGAATTCTCATTTCCATCCGATTCGCCTCGGTACACCCTATTTATACTAGAAACTACATCGCTATGGTTGACCTTAGAAAGTCTATAAGAGTATAACACAGCCTACAAGTCTATAACACAGCACTAAGCTCCCCAAGGACACCAATTAAGCACTAATCATCTCATTTAGAATATTCCAAAGAAATTTACCATTACTCATGCCTGCGGAACAGATACAAAAGAATCATTCAATAAAAGATATCCCGATAACGGTACAATCCCCGAGAAAAGAATCCTACGAGCGAATGCTTGTTACAGATAAGTTGGTCAACTCAAACAATTGATTTTTCCAGGTTAATTCGCCGGGCGGATAACGCGAGCGCCGGAGCCGAAATGGGTGCCGCGTCGCGTCGCGTCTCGTCTCATCGCGTCGGTTTTATCGAGATTGGCCAACGACGGAGCAGCGAGCACGTCCCCGGACGAAAAAGAAACGCGACGGTCCCCCGAACGGAGCGTCGGTGCAGATACCATTGGCCGCAAATACATCCACCCCCGTAAGAATTGGCTCAATTACGGGTAATCGCGTGTGTCGACGTTGGCCGTGCGCGTGTGTTTGATTCATAAAGTGCCGGTAATTGCGTTGCAGACGTCGGTCAGGATAACCCGGAGGATCACGTGAAATTTCCGTGGTGGCCGGCACATATATTCCCCCCTTCGCGTTAATTCGCGCGGAATGGAAACGAGTCAAGATGGAATCTCGGCCGATCGTTAGCGCGCCTGATCGCCCGGCGACGCACGCCGCTTTTAGACCCAATTGAGGAGCCACGGTGAATTTACGGCCGATCCTCCGTGAAACGAGACAATTCCCATGCGTCCGAGCGCCGTATTCTATGCGGTTTCCGTAAAATTTCACCGGCCGGCGTTAGTTTATTCAGCTCGAGCGAACGCGCCGGGCGTAATCTGTTAATGGGAGACGCGACGTCGTTTGGGAATATTTAATCGGCCGTGATGCCGGCGATTCGATGGGAGAATATGAAAGGCAACGATTGGGAGGCGGCGTTCGCGATTCCGGGGAACTAAAGCGTGGGATAACTTGTAGACGTTACTTCGTT